GTGGTATACAACAGACAGATGCCAAGATGGACCATGCTAACAAGACCACGCCGCTAACTGAACCTCACTGCTAACAGTATCATGCTGCTAACTGGACCATGTTGCTAAGATAACCTCACTGTCATCAGAACCATTCTGCCACTTGGACCTTGCTGCTGTAGATTTATTTCTTATTTCTTTTTCACTTTGGCGCCTTGTTTATGTATTTTTGTTGCATGCTTTGAATCGATTAATGTTAGTTTAGTTTATGTTAGTGCTCGCATTAAGCATGAAAATTATAGCCGAAACAAACCTATGAGAATCGTGCTGCTGTTGTTTGGTGTCTTGTTTTGCACTATTAGTGACTAACGTAGCTCTTAGATATTTTAGCGTACTGTTGGACGTTCGTTTAGCGTATATCTTAGTTTATATCTCAGATCCTTATTTACTGTTTCTTTTTACACTTTATATTTTGCTATTAGGGCGGCTGTGGCTGAGTAGTTTGAGCAGTCGCTCTCCAATGCAAGAGTTGGGGGTTCAAATCCACCAGCAGTCACATGCCGAAGTGTCCCTGGGCAAGACGCTGAATCCCTCGTTGCCTCCGATGTGTGTCCCATCAGTGTATGAATGTTATAAAGCTCTGACTAGTCTCTTTAGAATGATTTGTTCAATTAGCTTTGTAGAGATCTAGTAGAGTGCTGTATGAATGGGTAAATGAGGCACAGATTGTAGTGTAAAGCGCTTTGAGTATCTTGATTAGATAGACAGGTCCTATATAAGTACAGTCCATTTACCATTTATTGTTGGAGGTAACTGGGACCCTGTGTACACAATTTCATTCCACCTAATGTATCACATGTGATGCAAATGACAATACAGAACCTTGACCTTGACTCATCTCCAACATGAATTTATAATAGCCAACAGATAGTGAATTAGCTTTATTTAATACTTGTGTTGATAACTATTAAATGGTAAATGGACTGTACTTATACAGCTCCTTTCTATCTGATCAAAACACTCAAAGCTCTTTACAACAATGTGTGCCTCATTTACCCATTCATACAGCTCTATACTAGATCTATACAAAGATTAATCAGAGCTTTATCACATTCATACATTGATGGGACACACATCGGAGGTAATGAGGGGTTCAGTGTCTTACCCAGGGACACTTGGGCATGTGACTGCTGGTGGAATTGAACCCCCAACTTTCATATTGGAGGACGACTGCTCTAACTACTCAGCCACAGCCGCCCCTGTTTGTCTATGATGTTAATTAGCAGGTAATCATTAGATATACAAAAGGTAAGTTTTGGAGCCAACCCAATAAAAGATGGCACCCACAGCCTAGTGACCTTTTTACATTTACCAATATGCATGCTCAAAGTCAATATTTTGCAATGCATTGTAGGCTAAATAGTTTTATGCCTACTTGTGGATTATTTAAACACTTAGTCTAAACGATGTTCATGTCTAACTCTGTTTCAGCTGCTTTGCCATTCATTCAGACACCCAGCAACCTTGCACGTCTTGCTCACAACATAAAATAACAATTAAACTAATTAACAAATATGGTCGTATGTTACAGTCAATAAAAAGCCAGTGTCAGAGTCAGAGATTCTTTGTTGTCATTCGCACCACATGTGGTACATGTGGTGGAGCAAAATTATGTACACAAGGTCCCAGTTACATCCAACAATAAAATGTATAAGAAAAACAGTAATAACATCTAAGATATGAACTAAGAAAAACATCAACTAAATATACACTAAGCACTAATAGCATAAAACATTACGTCTAACAGCAGCACGAACATGAGCACGAGTCTGTGTGAGCAGAAAAATCATAGCTATGAAACTATTTGGGACTGCTGGTCCCATTTTTTATTTATTTTTTTTGGTTTTGCAATATTGTTTAAGATCATGCTTAATATTATTATTAGGGTTTAACTAAAATGGCTACAACCATCAGTTTGCAATGTTAGTTGATCTTAGTTTGGCATGAAAGGCAGTGGGTGACATGCATTCTTTGAGGGGATGCTAGGCCTTTAATTTATTAATATGTTAAACATCTTAACATTCGTGGAGCAGTGGATTTTCAAAAGGGTATATTGGAAATGGGATCATGCTATAGTTGCCTCGCACGCATCCCTGTGTGATGTGGTCTTGTCTTAAGAACAAACATTTTTCTGCGGGTAACTCTGGCAGGAGACTTTGGTGAGTCCTGCTGCTAGAGACAACTCTGGCTGCATCATTTAGCGTTCGGCCTCAGGCTTCTTATGTTCCCCCCTCTGCTGCGCCAGTATTACACTCAGCTGGAGAGGATTTAGTACAAGAATAATTTACTCCTACTTTCAGACCAATATAAACAAAGGGCTCTCTGCTTGGCCAGAGTGTAGAGAAATTTGTAAGAGCTCTCAGCCAAAAGAGAGGCCCAAGTGAAAGCAAAGGGGCAATCAGAAGTGCTCCGGATACAGGCCAACATCAACAGCTCTTAGAGCTGAAGCTAATGTTTGACATTCCTGTGTTACTTTAACCAAACACAAGGGTTTTCTGGACTGTATAATGCTGGTCCTGTGCAAATAGCGCTGAAGCCGGATAGAGTCTCACTTTTCTTTGTCTGCCTTCTCCCAGGACTAATGGTTTCCTTACTGTACGTCACTTTTCTTTTGAATCGGACCATTTTCCTCGCTCTGCCTTGACAGAAGTCAGAAGCACCATTCGTCTTTTGAACATGCTGTTAACCGTAAGCCCTGTGCGTTTACTCAGCCAGACAGTGGATTTCCATACAGCTGAATTGTAACAATAACTAAATTTCAGAGCTCCGGCTCGCCTCAAAAAATTTGTAATACACCATAAGTGCTAATGACGAGGCGTTCTGATATTTTATGACATATTCTGTCTCTAAGAGACTGTGACTTCTGCTCGCTGAGCGGCAGAACTTTTATTCCATTTTTGTTTCTAATGAAAGAATTAGCAAGAAGAGGAAAAAAGTCCTAGATTTACAGAGATCCACACCCCCCATTCCTGCTTTAGGCTGTTTTGCTTGAGTATTAGTTTACTGTGATCACTTATCAGTGAATGACAGCTCTGACTTGTTTATACGCCCGAAATGTGTTTTATCATTTTAGAGATATTATTATTTGTTGCTTTTCGCCGTCTGTCTGAGCGGTGTGTTCAAGGGAGCTTTGTCGTTTGCGGTGAAAGGACAAATAAATTGTCTGCCCTTGCCTGTCAGGTCTGATCTCTGCATTTTTTACATTGCTCATTATAAAAGTATTTCTATTTTATTAAGTTTTCCCTTTTTTTTTCACCCTTTGTCGCTTTGGGAAATTTGCATACCTCTATTCCTGGGGAAGAAAGTAATGACAACCATTTCTTTTCTTTTCTATCCCCCACTCGCCGCGTGAGTGCTTCGTTTAGTGGCACCTGCAGAAGCGACAGGCGCAGGGATGAGAAGTGAAAGAGAGCAGTTGATTAAATCATCATCAAGTCGCAGCACAGAAAGTCAATTCTGCTCGCCGTCTACAATGATATCCTTTTATCTTAAAGTAATGAGCTATGGCACTTTTGCATCGGGTAATACGATGAGTTCCATTAACATGTTCCATTTGCTTCACAAGCAAGGGCAAGTCATTCCAACCGGTTTCTATCTTGGCAATCAAAGCAATTGGCTGCACAGTGAGGGAGCAGTGGAAAGGAGAGAGGAAAAAAAAAAGAATAGATGTGTTTTTATGGATCACAACACAGTGGAAAAGACTGAAATAATATCCATTACTTAAACCTTCTTGCTTGCTGCTTTTCCTTGGTGGGGCTTGTGCACGGAAAAAGGAGCGGCTAATGAGTGCTTCGTCACATTCTCGAAGGTCTGAAAATAGTTTGTCGTTAGCTCTGTGTGGGAGGCGACATGTGAGAGGGGCCGAGCAGACACAAGCAGCAGCAGACGCACGACTCTACGTAGCATGGAGCTTTTAATGTGATGCCGGTGCTCACGTGTAATGATGAGCTGCACTTGTCTGTCATTATCTGCATTTATTCTGCCAGCTCTGACAGGCTGCAGGGCCGCCGTCGCTCTGCACGCCGCTTTAAAAATGGTGGTGGGGGATGATGGCAAAAGAGAGGGAAAGAGAAATGGAGCGGGGAACGTCTGAGGAGTGTTTGCCCAGTGCATTTATTGCCTCTGCATAATTTATGAGCTGCTGGAGCTGACCATCATGGCAGTGTGCCGCGGGCAGCCCCTGGGGCCGTGTGGGACAGGCCTGTAAATTGGATGCTATGCTCCTGCTGAGCTCGCGGGGCCCCCTCTTCTTTTTTTTTTTTTTTTTTTTACCATTCTGCCTGAGAAACGGATCAGCCACATACCCAGCTACCTTTGAGTTAAAGGAGATAAAGGAGGAAGAAAAAACCAGGCAGTGCCTTCTGTCGCTCACTCCCCAGGCTGTCAGTCGTCTCACCCACTTCCTTCACTCCTGCTACACTTAAATCGCCACCCAGCAACCCCTCCTTTCACTCCTACCCACACACTATGCCAACCCCTACCCCCCCAGTGCCTTCTTCATTACCGACTCCAGTGCTTCTGTGCACCTCAGCCATATGCACAGCGTTGAGGGCCGCCAGTCACCCAGCATCACACTAATTAGTTGATAAAGAATTAAGTGGACCTTGAAATTGAAATTGGAACGAAAAAATGAAATCTAGCCTCCTTTTTCCTCCCTCTGTTCCAAAGTTCCTTCCTCCTCTTGTCGTTCCTCTGTTCCCTGCCTCGAGCAGAAACTCACATCGTGGTATTATAATTCTGATGGCAATTACGATTTTAAATTTTCAGCTCTATGCTTTCTGCACAGCTCACTGTATCCACTGAAAACTGATCTGACAGCACTCAGTCACATGACACTGAATATAGATTTGATTTTCAAACGTTGAAGTCGTTCCTTTGAAAAAAATCGGTTTGTGCGTGGTTCATTTATAAATTAGATTATTAAAACCTTTCTGATTTTTTGTTTTGTTTTTCAGTGTGACACAGACAGTGACCAAGAAGACAAGGTAGGCTTGTTTTTCTCTTCCCGCATCACTGAACTGCAGACGTCTGAATGACAGGCTGCAGCAACGTTAAAAAAGATGAGGCTTTCTTTAAAACTGAGGATTTAATGTAATTAGAACTGCACGTCGTCTTAATTAGAATGAGGAAATCTTAATTACTTCACATTAATTATGAATGACTTAATGAGGCTCAAAATCTAAATCGTACTGTTCTGGGTTTTTAGGGTTTTGATGATATTAAAATAAAACTGCTGTGACAGATGTGGGTGGAGGTTCCTCTGCTTAAATCAAACCACCGTCTGACGATACATTTCAGGGTCTGTCGCAGAAGACCAAAGGGTGATAATGTTTTCCTAGTATTTGTATGTGTGTGTGTGGTAAGCTGTATTTTTCTCTGTAGTGAGCAGATTATAATGAAATCCTTAAAGTAATCACAAGATATACATCTACAACTGATCAATAATTGAACTCAGTCCAATACAAGATGTCCGTCATAGCCATACAACCTGAACCAGCACAAGAAGGGCTGTGATTTACTTTATATGTATATGAATGTTTCTGTTCAGTGCCCTGAGATGACTTCTGTTGTGACTTGGTGCTATATAAATAAATTAAATTTAATTGAATTTAGCCAAATCTACATATATTGAGCTAAACTTTGACGTAGTAGCAGCTGAGAGTCATAATCAACACACGGTGCGAACACATTTCATGCAACATCTCATGAGATTGCACACAACCTTGTTTACAAGGTTTGTCCAAAATGGTTATAACTCAGTAATGTCAAACTTAAGGTGCTTATTAACTAACTTTTGTTTTTTTCATCAAAATTGCACCTCTGGAACTGATCTAGAAAAAATAAATAAATTATAGATTGGAGATTTAGGTCTATCTTTGGAAAAGTTCAGTTTATTTAAATTCCACCAAGTTGCAACAGAAGTTGTCTCAGGCTACTGAACAGAAACATTCACATGAGTAAAATTCTCCGTCTAAGGAAGGAAGCCAGCAGATAGTGTTGAATCTTCACTTTGTCACAGTCTCCCGTCCTGAGCAAGCGCAATGGCAACAGTGGAAAGGAAAAACTCCATATTAACAGGAAGAAACCTCCAGGAGAACCAGGCCCAGGACAAGCAGCCATCTGCTTCAACTGGCTGGGTTTGAGAGGAACAGGAAGGAGGGACAATGGACACAGAATGGCAGGTCCAGATGTAAGTGCAGGTGAACCCATAGACATAAATACGGAGACGCCCCACTGAGCGCTGAATCGTACGTCGACGCCATTTTAAATGTGGCGGAACTGTCGGTCATTTAATGCAAAGAAATGGACAGAACTTCATAAAGCACCGTTCTACAAAGTGTTTTAAGTTAATGCCCGTCATTCAAACACTAACATAAATGGAAAACAAACAGGCACCAAAGACAACATTCGTAAGTTGTTTGAATGACGGGCATTAACTTAAAACACTTTGTAGAACGGTGCT